TTCCCAACAAAATTCATCATACAGACAATCAAAATTCTATATACCAATAATGGTATAGAAGCCAGGAAGATGAATCCATTTACAATTGCCTCAAAACAAAACTGGCTATAAATTTAACCAAGAAGGCAAGACCTCTGCAATAAAAATCATAAAACTTTAAAGAAATTGAAGAAGATACCAGGAGCTGAAAAGCCCTCTCATGAGGCCCATGGATTGGCAGAATTAATATCATGGAAATGGATGTACTGCCAAGAGCAATCTACAGTCAATGCAACACCCATCAAAATGCCAGTGTTACTCTTTGCAGAAATAGAAAATCAATCAATAAACTCATTTGGAAGCACAAGAGACCCCACAGGAAAAAATTAATCCTGGGCAAAGAGATCAATGCAACATTTATCACAATGCCAGACATCAAGTTATACTATAGATCTATGCCTCTGATCATATAAAGTAATGTGTATGCTGAGCCCCGGTAGCTCACCCATAATCCTAGCTACTCAGGAGGCTGAGATCTTAGGATTGCAGTTCAAAGCCAGCCTGGGCAGGAAAGTCCATGAGACTCGTATCTCCAATAAAATACTCAGAAAAAGCTGGAAATGGTACTGAAGCTCAGATGGCAGAGCCGTAGTGCCTAGGCCCTGAGTTCAAACCCCAGACTGGCAAAATAAATAGATAGATAAAACATGTGTCCGAATGAAAAAAGCTATACTATAGAGCCACGGGAACAAAAATAGCTGCTCCTGTTACTCAGAAAAAGTTTTTAAAAATCTACTTTAATGATTCTTAGATAAAAATCTACTTTAATGATCTGAAGGAGAGTAGATCAATATATAAGAACAAAATCTGGCAAGGCACCGGTGGCTCATACCTGTCATCCTAGCTACTCAGGAGGCTGGGTTCTGAGGATCGTGGTTCAAAGCCAGCCTGGGCAGGAAAGTCCATGAGACTCTTATCTCCAATAAAAACCACTAGAAAACCAGAAGTGGCACAATGGTTTAAGCGGTAGAGCACTTGCCCTGAGCTGAAGAGCGCAGGGACAGCACCCCAGTCCAGAGTTCAAGCCCCATGACTGACAAAAAAAAAAAAGAAAGAAAAAAACCTGTATAGTCATGTTTTTGCAGCCTTGATCACAATTACAAAATAATGAAGTCAGCTCACATGCCCAACAACTAGTAATAGATAAAGAAAATATTTCATACACACAATACACACATATACACACACATACCACATACACACACCACATACACATACCATGAAATATTACTAGGCCAAAAAGAAAAATGAAATTATGTCATGACAAATAGATGAAAAAGTAGATCACCATACTGAGTGAGGTAAGGCTGACAAGAAACAATGGACCATGTGTTTAACTCATACATGGAAACTAGAATATATGTATATGTATGTGAGAGAGAGAGAGAAAAGGAGATTTATCACTAGAAACTCTTTGGGGGAGAGGAGGAAAGGGGAGAATGGGAAGAATATCAAAATACATTGCATCTGTGTATGAAAATAGCAGTTTAATTGGGAATTCAAAGACTTATAGAAAGATGCTCTCCAAAAGAAAACCAGTCCTGAAGTGTAGACTCGTGCCTGGATGAATGCCAAGATCGCTGCATGAATGAAAGCAGTGACTCCAGAGGTGAGCTTCAAGATCGCTGCATGAATGAAGGCAGTCAGACTCCAGAGGGGAGCTTGGTTGGAAGGGAGATAGCAGCACCAAGCACACAGTCAGGAGCTCACTGGCGGCGCCTGGGCTGGCGGCGGGGGGAGATGCTTCCTGGATGGTGTAACTAGGGAAGGGCAGTGGTTGCACAATACCGTGGAAACAGTAAAACCAGAAACCAGGGTGTGTCTGCTCCCCGTCCCCCCTGGGTGAGGACGAACATAGCATCACATGCTAGCATAATGTATTGAAAGGAAGAAGGTGAGGGGTTAGAGTCAGGCAGATGGGGTAAATTTGATCAGAGTATCTTGTATGCACATGTGTAAATATTACCATGAAATCCCTTTGTGTGATTAATTCATACTAATAAAAATTTGCACTTGGGGCTGGGAAGGTGGCTCAGTGGTAGAGTGCTTGCCTAGCATGCATGAGGCCCTGGGTTCAATGCCTCAGTACCATATACACAGAAAAAGCTGGAAGTGGCACTGTGGCTCAAGTGGTAGAATGCTAGCCTGGAGCAAAAGAAGCTCAGGGACAGTGCCCAGGCCCTGAGTTCAAGCCCCAAGACTGGCAAAAAAAAAAAATTTCACTTATTTATTTGGTGCCAATCCTGGGGCTGGAATTCAGGGCCGGGGTGCTGACTCCTTAGCTTTTCTGCTCAAGGCTGGTGCTGCATCACTACAGTCACAGCTCCACATCTGGTTTTTGGTGGTGTCTCACGGACTTTCCTGCCCGGGCTGGCTTCAATTCCCCATCCTTAGATCTCAGCCTCTTGAGTAGCTAGGATTACAGCGTGAGCCAGCAGCGCCAGGCTATTTCTGTCTTTATTGAATTATTCTTCCATATCCTTCATTGTCTTCCTGTTGTGTACAGCTGTCTGTTTGAATCTTTAGTTGTGTCATCTTTAAATTTGTTCTGCTGCTCATACATTTCATCTTTGGTTTCATTAATTGTTCTTGTCACTGTTTTTTTTTTAATTCATTTAAGTTTCATCTTCATCACTTAAACCCTTTATTGTGGAGCTGTTAGCTTTGGAGGGAGATGCTAGCTTTTTATTTTTTTTAACTCAAGAATTTTGTGGGTTTTCTTTGGGATTTGCACATCTGGGGCATAGGTGAAGAATCAATCTCCTGTGTCCTTTGTGCTGGTATTTTTTTTATTGGTTTTGTTGTTGTTTTTCGCCAGTCCTGGGGCTTGAACTCAGGACTTGGGCACTATCCCTGAGCTTCTTTTGCTCAAGGCTAACACTGTATGAGCCACAGCACCACTCCTGGCCTTTTCTGAGTATGTGGTACAGAGGAATCGAACCCAGGGCTTTATTATGCATGGTAGGCAAGCACTCTAACACTAAGCCACATTCCCAGCCCTGGTGTTTTTTTTTGTTTCATTTTGTTTTCAGATGATTTATGGCTGGGCAACCACTGGGTTGAGTATTTTCTTGTTAAGCTAGCTTGGAGGCTTGTGTGGCTCAGTGTCAGATGATTCATTTCAATGCCCCAAACAGCTGTGTGTGACCATCTCCACTCAGCGTGGGGAAGCTCAGCTACAAAAGCTGTTGCAGTTCATAAACCACAACTGCTGCTGCTCCAGAATCTTTTTTTTTTTTAAATCAGTCATGGGGCTTGAACTCTGGGCCTGGGCACTGTCCCCCAGCTCTTCAGCTCAAGGCTAGCACTCGAGCACTTGAGCCACAGAGCCATTTCCGGTTTTCTAGTGGTTCATTGGAGAAAAGAGTCTCACGGACTTTCCTACCCTAGCTGGCTTTGAACCATGACCCTCAGATCTCAGCCTCCGGAGTAGCTAGGATGACAGCCACTAGCACTTGGCTCCAATAGTTTTAAATGAAGTAAAAGCATCTTTGTGGTTAGGAAACGTAGCCCGATGTGGTGGTGACTGGCAGGAGACCATCAGATCACCCGTGAATAATGCTACCTACTTGGAGGAAGGGGGACTTAGGAGCAAAGGCTAAGGCGAAAATGAAATGAGGCAAGCAGAAGACATTGAGTTAGCTTTGTGCTGATACGCAGGAGGAGGCAAAATGAAGAAGATGGAACAGATACACACACACACACACAAAGAAAAAAACACACAAATTATATTTGGGCGATCTAGTTACCAGCCAAGAGCACGGGTAGTGAGGAGGGACTGGAGATAGAGGAGTGGATGGAAAGCAGCGTGAGTGGCAGAGCAGCCTAACTGCAGACAGAGGGAAAGCGCAAACGGGGAGGGCGTCGGAAAGAGAAAAAACATTCAAACTTAAGATTGAGTACTGAGAGGCAGGTGTTGCGGTTCAGGCATGATGGCTTCAGGAAAAAAAGAATGGAGGTAAAAAGCAGAACTGAAAAGAAAATGGGAGCGAGGTATAAATTTGTCTATATTTGATGTTCATAAAATGATACAAATGAATAAAACAAAATAATCACACAAAAAAGCAACAGAGACAAATAGATGTATATATAAAACAAAGCATAAACTTTCTATTAATTTGTATGTGGCTACACCCACATACATGCACACACACACC